AAATATATATATATATATATATATATATATATATATATATATATATATATATATATATAAAACCATAGTAGCATACCCCATTTGGGACGGGGACTCATATTTGGCCTGTTTTTTTTTCTTTCAGTGAGTCAGTGAGCTGTTGACTTGAGAACCACTTTGGCCGATTTTAACCAAACCGTTTATACTGATTATGTGAACCAGTTCAATTATCTAATTCTAAAGCTCGGACATTGTTATTACTGGCATCAATTTATGTTTGCGTGTGTTTGTCAGATGGCACTATCAGGATGGATCTGTGTGGTGACTGGTGCTTCCAGAGGAATTGGAAGAGGTATTGCCCTACAGTTATCTGAGGCTGGCGCTACAGTGTACATCACTGGTCGACAGGAGAAAACTCTGAAGCAGACAGCAGCTGAGGTGTGGAAACTATCTCCTGATTGTATCAATAATAGCCCTCAGCTTAGAGAAGGTGATATTGATTTCATGCTTCTTTTATTTTCATGATAACAGGTGACAGAGAGAGGTGGCCGGTGTCTTCCAGTGATCTGTGACTCATCTAAAGAGGACGAAATCAAGGAGCTGTTTGAACGTGTTCAACGTGAGCAAAATGGCAGACTTGACTTATTGGTCAATAATGCCTATGCGGGGTGTACAGGTCAGTCACAGCTAACTATGGAACAAATATGCAGTTTTTCTGAATTTGAATTATTTTTGCTTTTGAAAGTTTCATGAAATAACTGTTTTACTATTGTTGTGTTTATATCTGTGTGTTAGGCTATTTTTGACAACATGAACAAGAAGTTCTGGGAGGTGGATCCAGATGTTTGGGACACAATCAACAACACTGGACTCAGGTACAGTACAGTACAAATCTGGAGATGACTCCAAGTGACAAATATTATGCAGAGATATACACATAAATCATTTTGAATGAATTTTAAGACTTCTTGTCACATCTAAGAGACAGGCCATTTGGGGGTTGTTTTTAAAGACATCTCTTATGCTCACCAAGGCTGCATTTATTTGAGAAAATAGAACAGTAATGTGAAATATTATTACAATTTTAAATAACATTTTTGTTTTAATATATTTTAAAATGTATATATATGAATAAAAGTATTCATTTTTCTTATCTTTTTTATTGTTTAAATATTTCAATATCTTAAATCAAACTTTTGAATGGTAGTGCATGACAACTTGAGTACCTAACCACATGAAACTTACTTATTTGACCCTGTAAAAAAACTAATTTATTTAAATAGAGGTTATATGACAATGCAATTATTAAAATTGAAAAAGCTGTGATTAAAGCATGGAAAATTGAAAATATTCATAGCAATTAATTTTCTTTGGACTTTCGGAGCCATTTCAGAGATCATGGTCACTGTTTTCACAGAGGTCACTATTTCTGCTCAGTGTATGCCGCACGGATGATGGTGGCGCAAGGCAAAGGCTTGATTGTGTTCATATCATCCATGGGTGGTCTGCGCTATCTCTTTAATGTATCCTATGGGGTCGGCAAAGCTGCAGTGAGTCCGTGCACACAGCATTACAGATTCTGTATCTGAAGTCATTTTCCGTGTAACATATTTGAAATATGGTTCATTTCAGTTGCACAGAATGCCACTTCCATTTTTTATTTGTTCGTAGACTATTCCTTTATTCATCTTCATTGTTCATTTATGCTTTAAACTTTCTTTTGGTTATTCAGTGTGACAGAATGGCAGCGGACATGGCAGTAGAGCTGAAGAAGAAAGGTGTGGTTTCTGTAAGCCTCTGGCCAGGGGCCGTTCAGACTGAGTTAATTAATCAGTATATATCTTGCGATGAGGCTCCTCCAGGATTTGATCCAAAAGTAAGCCTTTTTATTTTTCGAAGCCCTTAATCATAATTGCTTAAGTTCATGGAAAAAAATAAAACTTGTCTTCCTAAATATTTACAATCTCTCTTTCTCAGTTCAAGGAAATATTTAATAAGGGTGAGACGACAGAGTTTAGTGGAAGATGCATAGTTGAGCTGGCCAAAGGTTGGATTTTTTTAAAGACTAAAGTTAACATGTTATGAATTACATTGAAAGTAATTGGTGAGAAATGAATTGTCTCGAGGCTTTAGATGACATATTTTCTGCTTCCTGGTGACAAACAGATAAAAGTCTAATGTCAATGACCGGGCAAGTGTTGATGACCTGTGACCTCGCTCGCCGCTATGGACTCAAGGATGTTGATGGTACAGTGACAAATGTTTATGCAGAAGAAATAGTTTTCCAGTTACGATAAATGTAATTAGATGATTAGATTGAGATGTTACGAAATTAAATCCTACACAGGTTTTTTTTTTTATGTGCTCCTTGTTATTTCAGGTCGCAGTGTCATGGACTACACCTCTTTGAAGTTTGTCGTTTCCCAGGTACCCTATGTGTCCTGGCTGTCCGTATTCACTCCTTCATTCATCAGAGTGCCTCGTTCCATGCTGAGCCTTGGCAGTGGAAAAATCTAATATGTCTCAGTGAAGAGACATTGTCTATTTTTTTTTATCTTGTTATATAAAAAAAAAGGATGTCCATTTTTACAAATGAGTAAAGCACTGATTAAAATTACAGTAGCTGAGTCTGGAAGACAATTAATGCACAATTCATGAGCAGAATTAGTATTGTCACAACTGTTTTCTAAAATGAAAAAATTTATAAAAATACTGGTATATTAACATACGGTTTTTAACTTGAAAGGGATTAATTAACCCTGTTATAGATGATTGTATACTTACCAAACGAGTTATTGCAATAAATACTGACATTTTACTACAGTCTTTTGTGTTGTATTATTGATAGATTGATATCTCTTTCTTGAACCCTTCATTCCGATTGGTCAAACACCTGTGCAACATTACATAATTGTCCACTTTTCTGGGAAAATAGTGGTTCTCATGTCTCTGCAAGTACACTAATTATTTTAACTCAAATCAATATTTTTTAATGTGCATTGTTAAATAGCCATGTAATAAGTTGGGTAATGACTAGTCAGTCTCTCATTAGCACAAAACAAACACAGCTTGATTAGTTTTCCTGGACATTCTTTCTGCTCACATTAGAATGATTAATCTCAAATGAATAATTCACGTATATTCATTGATTTGGTGGATAGCCATGTATTATGCGGGATAATATACAGTCAAAATAAACCCTGACAGTGTGATCAGGACCCTTATGCAAAGTGAGTGGCTCTTGTGTCAACCTTAAGGAGTTATTGTTTTTTTTTTGTTTACTAATTTGTAGATTAAATTAATTGCTTCTTCCTAAACTCAAACATTCATAAAGTTACCTCTGACATGTCTGATCGAAGTATAATGATATGCATCCTTACCTGCAGACTCCTAAAACTTATCATGTGGCACAATTCACATGGTAATTACATCCCAGATGGGAAGTGCATTCACGGGGCCAAGTTTCAGCTGTGCTCCTCCTCCCATTACTCTCCTTCCCGGATTGGACCTGCATGGCCACGGACCCGTCATTGCATGAGAAAGAGGGGGCTGGTCCGAGAGTTTCCTGATCCTCTCTGTGTAGCCTCGGTCTGACCGGACAGGCGAAAAACACTTAGGGATTTCCAGAACAAAAACGACAACGGACAATACAAACCAGCTGGAGTGGCATATCTACATACAGCCTTGACAGAATTTCAAGCGGTGAGTTGTTGTTTCACGCGAACCACTTTACAGCTTACGTTTGTAAAGTTTTTTAAGCAGAGCCGAGACGGAATTAAGGCTCTCGAAGCTTGTTGTTGCGTCCTAAAAGCCACGCGAGGAGTCAAGTCGATTTTGTCTTACGTCGCGTCGTGTTCACATAATTGGAAGCGTTTGTTTTGAACAAGGTTCAAACGGGAATGTATGGTTAAATGGGACAACGGGAGTTTATGTGCGTTACTGAAGCGTGAGCGGATCCTGCGCCACAAAAGGGCTGATGTACAAGAGCTGTTATGGCATAAACCCTTGTATATTGTTGAAGCGTTCGGTTTATGTTGGCCCTTACACCTGTTTACTGTTTAGTGGATGAACACATACTGTAGTGATCTCATCTCGCATCCTACGACTTGCGTCAAAAGTTCCCCACATAAGCTGATTATAATAGAAGCCATGGACAAACATCGGCCACTGACGCAATTTACAAGTCTAACCAAGTTTATTTAGTCTAAACTGCATTGTATTTCTGTTTCACAGACTGTATAGGAATTAATTACGTTATTGTTCAGTAAATTATATTAAAATAAATAATTAACAAATTATTTATTTATATATATATATATATATATATATATATATATATTATTGACTGAGAAATTATTTATAATGATTGTGTACTTTTTCACAAGTTGATTATATTTGTAAATTTGACAATGTACAAATAGTAACCCTGCTAAACAAACGCTACTCTGACTTCATGCTTAGTCGAGTCATTCCAAGTCATCATCTGATAAATGAGGTCACAACAGGCGGTCGGGAATTTATCCTGTCAAGTTCACCTCCAGCTTGTTTTGTAGATGACTTGCCTGCTCATTGCCTAATATTGGCAAAGCTTTTCCAATCAGGATTGCCTAACACTGCTCATGTAGACTTGGTAAAGTTTGTTACTGTGGTTCACAGTTCAGCTTTGTTTTGGGCTCATTAAAGTCATAGGATGCCGCATAAAACTAAAACTGAAAAGGTACTATGTTGCTGATTTACAAATTGTTGACCATAAGTAAGGTGTCCTAGTCAGGACAAACAGAAAAATAAACTCATGTCATGATTAGATTTCAAAGTAAAAATCTAAGCCTTTTAATTCTGAGCACAGACCAAGTTTGAGATGACCAACATGTGCTCTGTAGACTGTGCTGTGTTGGGTAGGCAAAACTGGCAAACAAACCAGGTTGACAAATTGCAACTTTTGTTACCTTTATTTAACCGAGACAGACTCTCTTACTATCTCTTGGCCATCTGTTGGAAGGTTAAACGAACTTCTAAATGGTTCTCCGGGGGTTAGGCAAATGGGGGAAGCGGACCATTATGTGCACTGGAACAGGGCAAGGGAGCTGTGAAGGGCAGGGCCCCCATCTCTCTTTTGCCCAAGTCCGCCATAGTGGGGGTTGGTGTAGAGTATACGACAGGCTTTAATAAAAGGTTAATGTGTGGAAGAGAACGGCAGGGGGAAGGGGGTGACATCTGTCCTTCTTTCAACTTTAGAGAGGAAAGTCAATGGATGGACTGTAGAGTTGACCGTAAAGTCCCAGTTTAATGACTTTCAGGGAGTTTGATGAACGGCTTTTCTCGAAAATCTCACAAGCAAGTCACTTTGCATCTCTGGATGGGCATCGATAATGTCAGATTTTCTGAAGTTATGTTTGCTGCATCTTGCAAATGATCTGAATGAATTCTACTGAAGATTTGACCAACCAAAGAATGACCGGAACCCCACCCATTAACCCCCTCCCCAAAGCACCATCCTAGCACCCATCAGCCAGCAACAGCCCACCACCCCTCAGCATTCCAACCTTTTCACCCCTCACAAATCCGGCTTACAAACAACAGACAGGATTTTAACTTTTGCCAAAAATTACCTGTTCAAAAGGCAAAAAATGCATTATGGGTATTGCCATATACTATGCTGTATTAATTTTCAGCTGACTCTGTTTCTTTGTTATTCTTACAGTCTGCGGCAATAGAGGTATGACATCTCTGATGGCGACGCACAGTGACCATGACTTGAAAGCTATCTCTCCGAGAGGGGTGGCAGCAAAAAGACAAGATGGAAGCCTCACCAGTCCACGGCAGCAAAAATCACCATACCACCACAATTCTGATGGAAAGGAACATGCGAGCCCCTCTAATCGTAGACCAAGAGAGAACAGTGCTGCAGTAAGCTTTAGCACTAATAATAACTCTGTAGTATGTCTTCCTTTGGTATCTGAAGGACTAAAGCTAGTGTGGACCCAGTCTGATCAAACACGTGAGCTGGATGGTATCCCTGAACTTGTTCAGGCCTTCAACATCTTCCCCTATCCAACATCTCAAGAGGTCAGCACCCTTGCCCGTGTCTGCGCTCTTCCCCTAGATAAAGTCAAAGTGTGGTTCATGGTGCAACGCATCAAGTATGGAATTAGCTGGGCCTCGGAGGACATTGAAGAGACGTGGCTCAAGCTGGCTAGACCAGTGCGAACAAGTGAAACTGAACACAAAGAGAGCAGTACAAAGAGGAAAATTGAGGATTTAAAAGAAACAGAAAATCATGTTGAAGATCTAGTGCAAAGTCCACAAGTGCCTCGTAAAAGACATAAAATTGAAAGCACAGAACCAGCAAAGCTCTTTCCTGCTCTCTCACATTTCCGTTCATCTCTCCCACCTCCTCAGGATTCGTACAACTACCGACAGCCAGTAGAAATCCCAGAAACACCTCAAGCAGCCACTCCACCTACTTCTACAGAGTCTCCTGTTGGATCTGAGCAGCCACGGCAGGGGCGGTACAAAAAGTCCAAAGCCCAGTTAGCTGCTTTGCGTAAGAGTTTTCTACAGGAGAATTGGCCTGATGAGACAGAGCTTCAGCGCCTACAAGAGGAGACAGTCCTAACTCGTAATGAGATTCGAAAATGGTTTAGTGACAGTCGTTACCAGCTGCGAAATGGTAGAGGGTTGTCGACATCCTTCTCCGCTACTCAAGGAGAAAAAAATGAACCCAACTGCAGTCTATCATCTCAGTCTCAGGAGGTTCAGCCTCTTCCTCTCACTACTAAAAAGCAAACAACAGAGCATGCTGATGATGAAGGCAAGGAAAAGGTTTGTGTGAAAGGATCACGAAAAAATCGGCCAAAGAATTCTCAGTTTTTCCAGCTTTTCCTGTCTAACACGCTTGAGGCATTTGAAGAAGGAGCATTAGTTGTGGACGAGGAGAAATGTTCAGAGGAAAGTGAGATTCACATTAATGAAGCTGGAAGCGATCACGAAAGTGAGGGACGTTCTTTGACACCTCCAGAGCCAGTTGCACCCACTTCCTCCTCTTCTTCTCCATCAATCACCCCATCTAAAAAACACTCAGGCAGGTCATTGAAATATACACGCTCTGCCAAAGCAAATGCTTTGAACAACTCCCTAAACTCCTCGGATAACACTTCACTTTCTTCAGTATTAACAGTGGCTGGACGACCAAGGAAAACAAAGGAGCAACTGGCTGTCCTAAAGGAATACTTCCAGCGCTGCCCATGGCCAAAGAGTGATGTATACACACAGATAGTGGAACTAACATCTTTGCCTCGTGCTGACATTATCCAGTGGTTTGGGGACACGCGGTATGCTGTAAAAAATGGCAATGTACGTTGGGTGCATGCTGACGTACGTGACCAAGTGCTTGCTGAGATAGCATTGTTACAAAGTGGAGGGGCTGCTGCCGATGCCGCTGGAACCCTAGGAAGTGAAGGCAACAGGAAACGTAAGTCACAAGGGAACAGCACACCAAAAATGCAGAAGTCTGCAAAAGATTCTGTAGACCTCAGTCCATTGGAGCAGTATTATCGACAGACCGGACCACTCCAAGAGAAAGACCTTGACAATCTCTGCCGGAAGACAAAAATGAGTTATCAACAGGTCCGAGACTGGTTTGCATCTAAAGACAGTACAACACTGGACACAGAGATCACTGTTATTGATTGATTAATATAAGAATGAAAACTGTTTGTGCTCATGTCTGTTAATCTGCTGTGAAACCCCTTTGAAGGCACAGTATAAAATCACTTCATGCAGTGCCCTCTAT